ACACCCTGGAAGGAACAGGACCAACTCCCAAAAGTTGTCCTCTGAACTACACACTCAGAACTGCATTCACACCTGTCACAAACACACACGCCACAAATGAGTAAATAAATAAGCTTTAAGTTGAAATGTCACTCAAAACAGGAGCAATCAAAGGCTTTAAGGACAGGAAGAAACCTCACCATTCCTTAGGGCACTGTGGGCTCTAGGGAAGGCAACTGCTCTAGGCTGCCTCCCCTTCTGGGGGCGTTGGAGGCCCAACAAGTTGGCGTTATGAGAAAGCTCAAGGCAACTTTGCATGGATTCCATGGAGGATTCCAAGGCAGGCGAGGGTGACCCAAAGCAGAGGGACAAACACGCCAGGCACACAGAGCTTAAGTGAGAAGTTTTATTAGCAAGGGGAGGGAAGGGAGAGGAAGAGAAAAGAGGTGAAGAGACTCAGAGAGAGAGAACAAAAGAGAAGAGGGAGACAGGAAAAGTCCTGTCTGCCCCGGGGGAACTGCAGGGAAGAGGACAGGAAAGAGAACGGGAAAGAGAAAAGAGTGGGAAGAGAGCAGGAAAAGAAATTGTAAGTGGGCCAGGGTCTGTCTTTGAAAGGGGTCCTTTGCACTGAGGGGACCATTTCGGCAGTCATAACAGCCCAACATGTGCTTGTCTTACCTTGCCTTGGTCACTAGGAGGTCAGATGCCTGCCTCGTGGCAAGGAACCAATCAGAAGTTAGCTGGTGGCGCTATGCTTTAGGACCCTGGGTGTGCTTTATGGACAAGTGTGCAGCAATGACGCACAGAGCATAGCAACTGCCCTGGGAGGGCCTATGGGCCATAACAACCAGTTGGCCAATCAACACAGGGCAAGCCCTCTAAGCCTGGAGGCACAGCAATCCTGAGCCTGTGCGTACCCCTAGACACGCCCCTTATGCTGCTCTATAAGATCTCTATCCTGTGGCTTCTTGGCGTCTTTCCCAGCCATCCACCGTGGTGGATGGATGAAAAGCCCAAGCTAACATGGGGTTAGCTCGTTAAACAACTACAATAAAGCCTTGTGCTGTTTGCATCAAGCTTTTGCCTCCGCCTGGTGATTGGGGTCTTCTTGGTCCTGGGCAGAGATCCTGGGGGCCTGAGCCTCCAGGGGTCTTTCAGCACCTGTGTGCAGAATACGCAATCATGAAACCCTAGGCTGACCAGAGTACTGCCTGAGTGCATTATGCCAGGTGACAGGGACAGGCAAGCATAATACCTGAGTCCTTACACTAGGACAGCGCAGGCTACACAGAGAAACCTGTCTTTAAAAAACAAAAGTAAACAAACAAATAAAAACTTGCAAATATTAAAAAAACAACTTACATACCAAAATTTACCACACCTACAGTTTATATAACTCAATGAATCTCTACCATTAGAATAAGCATTCAGATACACATGGATGCCAGTGTTTAGTTCAAGTCACTACTTCTAGGAAAGTTACAAAAAAAATTCCTAATACTTGTGGGACTCTAGCAAGAATAGTGCACATTGAATTCTAGAGTAGGTCTCTTTTTCAGTGCTTGTCCTGACCAAAACACAAGATAGTGAGTCTACTTAAGTATACGGGAAAATTCCAATTACTAAAATTCAGAAGCTTCAGAATTTACTGAATACTGTAGAATTTTGGAGTCCAATCTTCTATTTTGTTGACCATTTATTCAACTAATACTTTCCCTATTTCCATGTAGAGCTGGTAATTTTGAGCTGGTGATCTTGAGATGGTTATCATGACATTTCATTTTTATATACAAAAAAAAGTATGATTCAAGATAATTTTGAAGAAAATATAAGACTGAAGAGAAACATAAGTTGTTTAATAAAACCAGAGGCTGGAGAGATAGTAGTTAAGAGCTCTTGCTGGTTCATTTCCGCTGGTTCACTTCCTAAAATCCACATCATGGCTCACAACTCTGTAACTAGAGTTCCAAAGGATTCCACACCCTGTTCCAGCCTCCGTGGGCCTTGGATACAAGTGATGCAATGCACATTCAAGCAAAATGTACATAAAATAAAATACATAAAAAAGTAAAATTTAAAAAAAAAGAATAAGCATTCAGAGGAGCTGGAGTGACACACTAAATGTTACACTTTCACTATGAGATACATCTAATATGTTTTATGTACTTATCAACACCAAAAACATAAAGATTTTTTAATTTAATTTAATGGTATGCTTTAATTGTTCAACTGGGGGCTGGAGAGTTGGCTCAGCAGTTAGAGCGTTTTTTGCTCTAGAGGACCTGGGTTCAGTTGTCAGCATCCGTGCAGCAGCTCACAACCACCTTTTTTTTTTTTTTTTGTTTTTTTGGTTTTTCGAGACAGGGTTTCTCTGTGTAGCTTTGGAGCCTATCCTGGCACTCGCTCTAGAGACCAGGCTGGCCTCGAACTCACAGAGATCCACCTGCCTCTGCCTCCCGAGTGCTGGGATTAAAGACGTGCGCTACCAATGCCCAGCTCACAACCTTCTTTAATTCCAGTTCCAGATCAGATGCCCTCTTCTGGCCTGCTGGGAAACCCCACCCCTACCCCACCTTCACTAACCTAGCATCAATGGCCAAGTCATCATCAGCGGTGAAAACGTGGTAATCCCCACTGTCACCACCAGCCTTGTTTTCTCCCTGTGTGCCACTCCCCTTCACAAAAAGAAAGGGCTTCTTCTGAGAGGCAGCCTCTGTATCCCCCCCCCCATAATCCTCGTGAGATCTGTGTGCATGGTGTGATCTCTACTGCAGCATGCCTTGGCTCCAGCTTGCCAAGGTACTCCCACTACATAAATGCTGGCATGGCCTCCTGTCCATGGCATTAGAAGCACACAGTACATACAGGCAAAGCACTCATATGCGTAAAATATCTTTTTTAAAAATTTTATGTACATTGGTGTTTTGTGTACATGTATGTCTGTTTGAGGGAGTCTGATCCCCTGTTCCAGGGGTTGCAGACAGCTGTGAGCTGCCTTGTGGTTGCTGGGAATTGAACTGTTGTCCTCTGGAAGAGTAGCCAGTGCTCTTAACTACTGAACCATTCCTTCCACCCCCTCTTTTTGACTTCTCAAGACAGGGTTTCATTGTGTAGCCCTGGCTATCCTGGAACTCACTCTGTATACCAGGCTGGCCTTGAACTCAGAGATCTACCTGCTTCTGCCTCCTGTGTGCTGGGGTTAAAGGCTTTTGAGGACATCACACATGGCTCCAGTAAACACTCTTAAACACTGAACCACTTCTCCTTCCCCAAGATCCACTTTTCTTCTTGTCCCCTCTTCTTAAATGCTCTTGAGGCTTGGTGTAGACAAAGTTGACATACCTTGCCCATTTAGAGCTACTCCCTCACAGTCATTTAGTTTCTGCAGTGATTGCTTCCTACTGCAAAAAAGAAGCTTCTTTTTGTTTTCTTTCTTTCTTTCTTTCTTTCTTTTTCTTCTTGAGACAGGGTTTCTCTGTGGCTTTGGAGGCTGTCCTGGAAGTAGCTCTTGTAGACCAGGCTGGTCTCGAACTCTCAGAGATCCATGTGCCTCTGCCTCCTGAGTACTGGGACTAAAGGTGTTCGTCACCAATGCCCAGCAAGAAGCTTCTTTGTAACATGAAAAATAAAAGACCCAGAGACTGATATTGGGGTTCAAGCTTATAGGTGAAGATCAGAGAAGCAAAGCAGTCGGCCACTAGCTCTCACTTCTAACCTCAGCTCAGACCAAAGGGGTGATTCTCAGACTGCTCCTGACTTCACTGCTCCTCAGATTCACTCAGACTGCTATGCTCTCCTCAACGTGGCTAGAGACTAACTCTCAGACTGAATGCCATCTCTGAGACTCTGCTTGGGTCTTATATATCTCCCTAATGTTGGGACTAAAGGCGTGTGATTCCAGGTGCTGATGTCACCTTTGTGTGAGCTGTTTCTTTTAGGACTGGATCAATTTTGTGTAGTCAGTGTGGCTAGCAGACTCTCAAGGGATGACTACATCTGCTCCAGGGTGTGGTCCAGCCTACCTAGCATCGCCTGGAGGAAGTCTGTCTTGAAGATTTTCATGTTCAGATATTCTAGGGTGACTCATCAAAAAAGTGAAGGATTCTGTTTTGTGTATTCGGCCAAAGTGAAAGAGATGGACATACACCAGGCAGAGATGTCACTCAGCTTTTCATCCTGGAGCCCCACGGGAGGGGCCAATGCTTTCTAGTAAGGAGGGCTCCCAAATGCCTGCTTCAGACACAGGAAAGCTATACAAACAACAAGGCTCAATTCTAGATTGTTTTACCTGGTCCTATTCAGCATCTATCCAGACGTGTTAAAGATCAGTACTGTCTTGAGGACACGTAGAGCAGAGTGTGGGGACCCTTCCAAGGTCATGTTGCTCAGACAGTGGCCAGCAAAGTTGAGAGGCCAGCCTGGTGAAGAAACCATGATTGAGGACCCCTGGCAGATGAAACAGTGCAGGCTGGAGCTGGACGAAGGGTCCCAGCATTATCCCCAGCATGAGACAGAGCCTGAAGTTGAGGTACCAAGGTCTCAGGGTTCCATGAAGTGTGGTCCCTAAAGTAGGCCTCTAGATTGAAGGAGTGGAAAACAACATTTGCTCCTGGGAGTGGATGGAGCAGAACACACACAGACACACACACACACACACCACACACACATACCACACACACATACATACCACACACCACACACACACACAGACATACCACATACACACATACATACCACACACCACACACACCACACACACATACACACACACACACACACACACACACACACCACACTCACACACATACACACACACATACCACATACACACATACATACCACACACATATACACACACACACACACACATATACACACACACATCTCACATACACACACACACCACACACACACACACACACACACCCCACACATACACACACACACACACACACACACACACACATATATACAATACACATATACACACCACACACATGCACACAAACATACCACACACATACCACACACACACACACACACACTCATGCACGCACGAACGTACGCACACACATGCAGGCATGCAGGCTCACACGCACTCATACCAGGTGGAGAGTTCGGGGAGGGGGATAGCTTAAGCAGGGGAAAGGACACAGTGCTGACCAGTTCTGTGGCTGTTCCTGGCTTCCATAGGACTTACTTGCCCCCAGCTATATGAACAACAGCTTCAGACACGACACCGTCCTTTTGCCTAAACCCAAGGTTCAAGAAATGATGAGCAGTGCTCCCCCAGCCAGCATCACGGAGGCTCACCAGCAGGAGATGGCTTCTGGAAGTTCCATAGCCTGGTGGCAGAAGGAATCTTCAGGAAGCTCCCCAGACTGGTGGCAAAGGCTGAATGGTACACCCAAAAGATAAGTGGGGTTCTACCCTCAGCACCTCAGAACGTGACCTCTGTTCAGAAACAGATTCATGGAAGATACAGAGAGACAGGGTCATCCTGGAGCAATGTGAGGTCTACCTCAGTGTGGCTCCATCCTTAGAAGAGAAGGGCTTTGAAGTTAGGCAGCTGCAGGCAGAGGAACATCCAGAAATGTCAGACACCCTGGAAGGCAGAGTGGGAAAGACCCTCCCAGAGTCTCAGAAAGCACAGCCTTGTGGACCTCCTCAAGCCAACAATTCTGGACTCAAAAGTGGCCACAGGATTAAATGCCTGCCGTTTGTTTTGTTTCGGTCATGCTGGAGAAGCATCCTAGGGTTGGTTCCCTGTATGCTGGGCAAAGGGCTCTGCTGCTGAAGACAGGAAGGTACCTGGTGAGTGCAGCAGAGCAGAAGGTGGCTTCAGAAGGGCCATGGTGTGAGGACTGTAGGGTAAGCCCGTGGGCTCCGCAGGGGCTTCTCTTCTCAAGGGGGTACAGCGCAGGTGCTTCCTTATCCTGGTGACTGGAAACCGGTCCCTTCTCAACTGTTGTTTCAATCTCGGATACTCGGAGACCTGGCCAGCAGGAGTCACTCTGCATTAGGTTTGGGTCAGGTAGCTTAGCATGTTGTAGAAGCCCACTGTAGAATAATAGTCTCCAAGAAATTTTATCCTATAAGCCCTTTAAAGGGACTAAAATTTGTTCACAAACAAACCAACCATCCAGGAGCTGTGGTTGACTGGGATTAAGGGGGTAGTGTGAATAAAATGTCTGGCAGAGGTTTGACCCCTCATTCGTATTGTCATCTCCAAAGATGAGTGTCCTTTCACTTAAAATAGTCACCTTTCTTTCCCTTGTCTTGCAGTGCTGGGAGCAGAACGCAGGGCCTCATGGAAGCTAAGGAAGTGTCTCTACCTCTGAACCACATCTCCCCTTACAGTCACTCTAAAAGATGGGTGTGGGGCTGGAGAGCTGGCTTGGAACTCTTGTAAAGGACCTGAATTTGATTTTCAGCACCAGTGTCAGGTGGGTCACAAGTGCCTGTAACTCCAGCTCCAGGACATCTAACGCCTCTGTCCCCGTGACCACCGCACTCACACGCACATATCACATATCCTCTACACACACAATTTAAAGCTGGAGGTGGTGGGGCAGCCTTTAATCCCAGCACTTGAGAGGCAGAGGAAGGTGGATCTCTATCTTTGAGGCCAGCCTGAGCTATATAGCAAGCCCTTGTCGAAAGAAAAGAAAGGAAGGAAGGAAGGAAGGAAGGAAGGAAGGAAGGAAGGAAGGAAGGAGGGCCTGGTAGTGATGGCACACACCTTTACTCCCAGCACCCATAGGCAGAGGCAGGCAGATATCTGAGTATAAAGCAGCCTGGTCTATAGAACGAGTTTTAGGATAGCTGGAGCTATAAAGAGTAACCCTGTCTTGAATACCCCCCCCCCAAAGAAAAAGGGTAAGGGGGATTGAGCAGGAACCTATAACTCCAGCTCCAGGGAGAGCTAAATAATAAAAATAGATGGGGGGTGTGGTATGATGCAGTCGATCAGCCTGGTCTGCAGAGTAAGTTCCAGGACAGCCAGGACTATAGAGAGAGACTTTATCTCAACCCCCATCCCCTCCAAAAAAGTTGCAAAAATAAATTAAGCAATAAGCAAAAGAAGAGGAAACATTATACTCTCGTTAACACACCATCGCTGTCTGCTGAGCACACTGCTCCTTGCCTGGTGCATAGCACAAATGTGTGTGTGTTCTAGTTTGCTTTCTGTTGCTGCAATAAACATCATGACCAAAGCAACTGGGAAAAAAACAGGTTGATCTGCCACGGAGCTATCCTACGTTCTGTGCCCGTCTGTCTTTTCTCCAGCCACGCCCCTTCCTTACATGCTTGCCCCTTCCATATTCCCTTCTATATACTCCCCTCCCCCTCCCGACTCCTCCCCGTGTCCAAGGCTCACACTTCACTGTGAGCTCTCCTTGTCTGCCAACCCACCTTTTGTCACCTTACTTTACAGGCCCTGTGTAGCTTTGGAGCCTATCCTGGCACTCGCTCTGGCTGGCCTCGAACTCACAGAGATCTGCCTGCCTCTGCCTCCTGAGTGCTGGGATTAAAGGTGTGCACCACCAATGCCCAGCACACAGTTTTAAGTAAACTGATTTGGAAGTTTGAAGCACTCCAGGACTTGCTTTCCTACCTACACAGAAGTTATGGATACAATGATGTCAGCTTGGACTGTGGTGACAGTTTTCAGAAAGGAGTGACTCAAACCCACAGAAATGAGCTGACCACACCTGCTATCCCAGGAGGCAGGGGGTGGGGTGGGGGAAGAAGATTGGACAGAGAGAGAGTTCTAGACCCCTGTCTCAACACAACAAATAGAACTGACCGTGACTGGAGGCCAGAGCCCAAGGTAACGGAGTCACAGAGCTGTTTCTCTGCAGGCTCTGAAGAATGTCGGCCCTCTCCATCCTGCCTCTGATGTCATCTCTTGACTCGTAGGTGAGTAGTCCAGACTGCTCTGTCTGTCTGCCTCACCCTTCCCTCTAAATGTTTCTTTGAGTCCCAGGATGGCTGCTGTCTTGGGTTTTAGGGCCACCGTGAGGCAACATGACATCAATTTTTCCTCCTTTGGTTTTATTTATTTATAATGTGGTTCTGCCTGGGCTGCAACTTGCTCTGTAAAACAGCCTGGCTTGAACTCACAGATCCTCCTGCCTCTGCCTTCCAGGTGTTAGGATTAACGCTGTGCACCACCACCACCACCCATCCTTACTTATTCATTCATTGTTTGTGTGCAGGGGAGTGTGGAGGTCAGAAGACAACTCCCTCTCCTGTCAGCTTGTGGAATCAGAGGATGGGACCAGGTCCTCAGGCCTGTGCACAAAGGACTGTAACTCACCGGTCCATCTCTCCAACCCATAGGTTTTTTGTTTTTGTTTTGTCTTTTTTCCTACTAGTTTTACACTCTAATCTAGGCTGGCTTCATGCTCACAGTCTCCCTCTTGCTTTAGCCTCTCAAGTGCTGGGATTGCAGATATAATCCTCCATGCCTGGCTATCATATAATCCTAACTCATTATATCTGAAAGACTCCATTTCCAAGCAAGGATACTTTTTTTTTTTTTTTGGTTTTTCTTTCTTTCTGGTGGTGAAGCGCTTAGAAGTCAGAGGCAGGTGGATCTCTGTGAGTTCCAAGCCAGCCTGGTCTACAGAGTGGCTTCCAGGACAGCTAACACTACACAGAGAAACCCTGTCTCAGAAAAACAACAACAAAAAAGATTTCTTTCTTTATGTATGATTGAGTATGATTGTTTGCTTGCATGTGTGCATGTCTGGTGCCTGATGTCTGAGGCTATCAAAGAATGGCATCAGATCTCTTGAGTTCCAGGATATGGTTTTGAGTCACTATGTGGGTGCTAGGAAACAAACCCACATCCTCTAGTAGAGCAACAAATATCACACACACACACACACACACACACACACACACACACACACACACACACACACACACACACACACACACACACACAATTTAAACTTATTTTATGTGCATTGGTGTGAAGGTGTCAGATCCCCTGGAACTGGAGTTACAGACAGTCAGGTGTTGGGAACTGAATCAGGGTCCTCTGGAAGAGCAGTCAGTGCTCCTAACCACTGAGCCATCTCTCTTGCACTGTATGAGATATTCTTCAAACCAGTACTGTATCTTTTCTACGCTATCTAGTGCAGCCATTCTGGGATCAGGATACGGTAGGTAATCTGACACTCAGGTGCCAAGAAGATATGGGGACCAGATACCCACTTCCATATGTCTGTATTGAAGATCTTCCAGGTTCATAATACTCATGAGAACCTCATGCTCATGAAGACAGTGAAGCCGCAGGGTGGGGCCAACCCCCATCATCTCTACCTTGAGAAGTCTTAGTATTAGAAGTCATCGTACTATTGATACTTTCTCTGAGTTTCAATGGGCATCTGCCTTAAGTTCTGAAAGGGGAGAGTCTATAATTACACATTTATTAGAAACAATGCCTGTAGCTGGGATGTGGTGGTGCACGCCTTTAAGCCCAGCATTAGGGAGACAGAGGCAGTCAGATCTCAGTGAGTTCGAGACCAGCCTGGTCTACAAGAGCTAGTTCCAGGACAGCCTCCAAAGCCACAGAGAAACCCTGTCTCAACAAAACAAAACAAAACAAAACAAAACAAAACAAAACCAGAAACCATGGCTGTAATGGGCATAACAGCACAGATTAAAACTGATAATGCCCCAGTTTATGCTTCCAATAAAAGGAAACAATTTTTGCACATTACAACATAAAACATTTTTCTCGGATACCATACAATCCTACAGGACAAGCAATTGTTAAGAGATCTTATCACAACCTAAAAGAGATGCTTGCTGACCAGAAGGGGGATATGAGAACCCCCAGAGATAGACTGCATAATACCTTATTAACTTTAAACTTTCTAAATATTAATGAAACACAGACAACAGCGGCAGAAAGGCATTGGACCAGAGAGAAAACTGCTAATTCAAATCACCCTGTGTACTAGAAGGGTGCCAGGACATCTGCTTGGAGAATGGGGAAGGTGTTACCATGGGGCTGAGTTATGCTTATGTTTCCACGGGAGATAATAAATTATGGATCCTGTTGAAATTTACAAAAATATGACATGAGCAAGAGACATCTCCCAGATGTGGCAGCTGCAGAGATGCCTCCACAGAACACAAGACACTGAAGACCTTTGCAACAGACAACTAATCCTCCCATCTGGGGACAACTGAAGAATTTGTGTGACAGAGGGGAGGCGATGCTTTGCATGACTCAGAAATCTTTGAATGCTACAAACTTATTTTTTGCCATGCTTTCCATGGCAGCGTGCAGGTAAAAGGGAAGGCTCATAATTATTGGGCTTTTATCCCCAATCCTCCAACTAACCTATCAGTAAGTTGGGGAGATATGGATATTCTTGTAGTGGTTAATGAGTCTTCTTGGCTACCTGGTCCTTAGGTCAACCGAGGTCCTGCTCAGCCAATGGAGGAGGGTAGAGTGATAACCTCTCAAGTATGGCTATCCATAGTCACTACTACCCAAAAGGCTGGCCTTGGCTCACAGAAATCCACCTGCCTCTGCCTCCCGAGTGCTGGGACTAAAGGTGTACACTACTACCACTGGCTTTTTTGTTTTTTGGGGTTTTTTTGGGGGGGGTGGGGGGGAGACTGCTTCTTGCTACCTGAGGTGCTGGCTGTATCGTGGAGTAGCTGGCTGTTTCATTTCACTGTCCAGGCTCTGTGGCGCCACTTGGACCTGGCAAAATGCTGTTCAAGGTAGATCCAAGTTGACTCCCAAGGACTTAAAGCACCTGATTCTTTTCCATCACCTGGACACACTCTTTCTATCCAATTTACCAGGAAACATAGGTGGTTGGTTACTGAGGCCAGTCATTGCAGAGTTAGTATCTCTAGGGTGGTGTTGGTTCTTACCTGGACGTGTTTGCTAGTCTTGCCCTCCAGCTCCGTAACTAACAGTTGGTAGTCCTGCAACAATAGCTGATTAGCAGTGGTCAG